GTAGCTGGGATTACAGACATGCGCCACCACGTCTGGCTAATTTTGTATTTTTTATTAGAGATGGGGTTTCTCCATGTTGGTCAGGCTGGTCTTGAACTCCTAACCTCAGGTGATCCGCCCTCCTCGGCCTCCCAAAGTGCTGGGATTACAGGTGTGAGCCACAGTGCTTCGCCCACAATCTTATCACACTAAGAAAACTGGTAACTTAATATCTAATATGCAGAACATATTCAAATTTCTTCAACTGTTCCAAAAATGTATTAGGGCTCTTTTTTTTTTTTTTTCTTTTCCAATCCAAGATTCAATCATGGTTTGTTTTTCCATATGGAACAACTGTCCGGCTTTTTGTTTTTCAGGGTATAGACATGAATTGTCTTATAGAATGTTCCTCATTCTGGATTTCTTGTCTCATGTTTTCAGCACAGTTAAGTTCAGGTTACACATTTTGGCAATAGGTTAATAGGTTATGTGTACAACTCAAGCATTATGTTAGAGTCAGACATCAGATTGTTACACCATTTTTGATACCAATTTTGACCATCTGGTTAAGGTGGTAACCACTAGATATAACATTCCTATAAAGTGCTGGTCTCAAGTTTTAGCACCCATTAATTATACTTTCCTGACATTTATCTCCCTGGATACGATCGTAGTTTTCTAATTCTATAATCTCTTCTACATTTATTATTGACTTTCTAATGAATAGCTCCCACCCACACCCACCCGCTTCCCCTCCCCCCACAGGCAGGGTCTCACTCTATCACCAGGCTGGAGTCCAGTGGTTCTATCTTGGCACACTACAACCTCAGCCTCGCTGGTTCAAGCAATTCTCCTGTCTCAGCCTCCCGAGTAGCTGAGATTACAAGCATGTGCCCCTGTGCCCGACTAATTTTTGCATTTTCAGTGGAGATGGGGTTTCACCACGTTGGCTGGGCTGGTCTCAAACTCCTGGCCTCAAGTGATCTGCCCGCCTCAACCTCCCAAGGTTGAGGATTATAGGCGTGAGCTGGGATTATAGGCGTGAGCCACCATGCCAGCCCTTACACTCACCCTTTTTTGTTATTTTACTGTAGGTGTTTTTAATTCAGTGTTTTATCACCCTTTTATGGTGGTAGTTCTCAGTGTCCTCCTCAATGAGCAACATTACCTGGGAACTTGTTAAAACGGCAACTTTACTTGGGAACTTGTTACAAATGCAAATCAGAATCCGAGAGGCACCCCAGCAATGTGTTTTAACAAGGTCTCCCTCCTGGCCAACATGGTGAAACCCTGTCTCTACTAAAAATATAAAAAAATTAGCTGGGCATGGTGGTGCGTGCCCGTAGTCCCAGCTACTTGGGAGGCTGAGGCAGGAGAATCGCTTGAACCTGGGAGGTAGAGGTTGCAGTGAGCCAAGACTGCACCACTGCATTCCAGCTTGGCGACAAAGTGAGACTCTGTCTCAAAAAAAAAAAAAGTACCTGGCATGGTGGCTCATGCCTGTAATCCCAGCACTTTGGGATGCCACGGTGGACGAATCACAAGGTCAGGAGTTGGAGACCATCCTGGCCAATATGGTGAAACCTGGTCTCTACTAAAAATACAAAATTAGCTGGTTGTGGTGGTACATGCCTGTAATCCCAGCTACTTGGGAGGCTGAGGCAGAATTGCTTGAATCTAGGAGGTGGAGGTTGCAGTGAGCCAAGATTGTACCACTGCACTCCAGCCTGGATGACAGAGTGAGACTGTGTCAAAAAAAAAAAAAAAAAAAAAAAAAAAAAAAAAAAAAAGAAAAAAAAAAAAAAAAAAAAAAAAAAAAAAAAAAAAGAAAGGAAAAAAAAAGTCTCCTCCGAATTCTCACGTTGGATAACCATTGCTTTATTATTATTATTATTTAAATTTTTGAGACAGAGTCTTTTTTTTGCATTTTAGTGGAGATGGGGGTTTCACCATGTTGGCCAGGCTGGTCTCAAACTCCCAACCCCTCAGGTGATCTGCCCACTTTGGCCTCCCAAAGTGGCGGGATTACAGGCCTCAGCAACTGCACACTGCATTATTTTTGTCCCAAATTTGGCCAGTGGACACCTGATAGGCAACTAAGTGCTTAAAAGGATGAGATTGTTGTGAAATAGTGGAAGGCACCCACTAAGTGGTAAAGTGACAAAGTTGAGAACAGGGTCGCCCTTTTGGTAAAACAAAATGAAACAAGAAAATGTTCCATAAGTTTATGTGCAGGAATAGCAAATCTAATGCCTTATTTTACATCCTGTGTCTTTTTTTTTTTTTTTTTTGAAACAGGGTCTCCCTCTGTCACTCAGACTGGAGGGCGGTGGTGTGATCATAGGTCACTGTAGCCCTCAACGGCCCAAGCACAAGTGATCCTCCCACCTCAGCCTCCTGAGTAGCTAGGACCACAGGTCTAAGTCACCATACCTGGGTATTTTATTATCATTATTATTTAGTAGAAAGGTCTCACTATGCTGCCTAGGCTGGTCTCGAACTCCTGGCCTCAAGCGATCCTCCCGCTTTGGCCTCCCAAAGTGCTGGGATTACAGGCGTGAGTCACCGTGCTCAGCCTATTCTTCGTCTTTTGAATTTAACTCTCCCCACCCCTCCACGGAGTTTTGCTCTATTGCCCAGGCTGGAGTGCAGTGGTGCGCTCTCAGCCCACTAAAACCTCTGCCCCGCGGGTTCAAGCGATTGTCCTGCCTCAGCCTCCAGAATAGCATGGGATTACAGGTGCCGGCCACCACACTTGGCTAATTTTTGTATTTTTAGTAAAGTCGGGATTTCACCATGTTGGCTAGGCTGGTCTCAAACTCCTGACTTCAGTTGATCCACCTGCCTCAGACTCCCAAAGTGCTGGGATTACAGGCATTAGCCACCACACCTGGCGAATTTATCAGGAACTGTATAACACTCATAATACAGAGGAAGAAAACAGCACAGTATGATCAAGTTTAACTAGGGGGCAATTCGCTGTAAAAGAACCCTTGGATCTCTTGTTCAAAGAGGTTCAAGCTACTGTGCTTGTGAGGCAAGGGTAGTTAGTGTCCCTCACATGGTCGACGATAATGAAAATTACAAATCAGTCATTTGTCCTTCATTTTCTCCATTCCCCCCACTCACTACACAGCTAAGAAAGCTCAAAGATACCTTGCAGACACTCAGAGCAGACACTTGAGGGCACCCAACTCTCAGTTACGAGTGGTGCCAGTCATAATGACAGAATGAAGTACCACTGAAAGAGACTGAAAGCGTGTGGATGTCTCCAGGCTGGAAGTCTGGGCTGGAAATGTCTGCAATGCCTCGTACTTGTGGCTCGTGGGTATCCCAGAACTTCAGAAGCCACTGGTTTCTCCGCCAAACGAAGGATATGCACCTCATGGGCTCAGATTAAAAAACTCTTCTGAACAATCTTCTAATGTTTATCTTTCACAGCCTGCCGGGCACACCCATCTTCAAAGGCAGCGGACGGAAAAGAAGTGCCAAGATGGAAGCACAAATGGCTGTCGCCGCGCTCCCCGCCTCCCAGCGCCAAGGCGGAATGACCACTTAGGTCAGGAGATTTTTCCCCTCCAAGCTGCTGTTCCTGGGAGGTGTCCCAGCGTCTCTGGTCTAGCCCCTAGCTCAGCACTCCATACACCCGAAGTTTAACAAAAGCTAGTCCAACTTTTTACCAGTGGTCTGCAATGATTTTCACCAGCAGAAGCTGGATGAAAGACTAGCGAGCGGTAACCACGGCAACCAAAAAAAACTGGGCGGAAAGGGTGGGGCCCTGGGCGGAAGGGGCGGGGTTCTGAAGCCTCCCGGCGTCCATTTAGTGGCGGGAAAAGCGACCTCTTCTCAGCGGCCTTTTCCTGCCGAGTGGTAGCCTTTCCCCTCAACCAGCAATGGAGGAGCAGCCCCAGAAGCAAGCCGCCGATCAGCCCGCGGACTCCGGAGGGGAAGGCGGGGCAGGCGGGCCCTCGCAGGTCGCCGGCGCCCAGGCGGCGCGCAGCGAGGACCGCATGACCCTGCTGCTCAGGTTGTTCCCTCCAGCTGCCTCAGCCGGAGCCAAGTGGGAGTCATGGGCCGGCGCTCCGCCTTTTGCTCAGAAGGGCTTGGGTTTGAATTCGCACTCGGTCACGTCTTGGCTCCGTGACTGCCTCATTCACTTAAGCTCTTGAAACTCTTTATTCATCGGCGAAAAGGAGAGGAAAATGACACCCTGGTAGAGAGGCTATAGGGTTAAATGAGATTGTCTAGGAAAGTGTTGAGCACAGTGCCCCGGGCCCTTAGAAAGTCCTTAGAAGCCGTAATTTCTCCTGTTTTCCCCGCCTCACTCCCTGGGTCTCTGGTTTTCAGACGAGGTGAATGTCAGCTAACCTGGAAGGAAGGTGCCCCTACCATTTTTTTAATAACTACGACCCCTTTGTAACCCAGAAGCTTTATTTGTTATTCTAAGGGTAGCTGAGAAAAAGGAGAATAGACCCAAAGTCAGGCAAGCAAGTTTTATTAACTTGCCGGGCTGCTGGGTAACAATCAGAAGAGGCAGCCCCGAGCTTACAAAACGAAGGGTTTATATGGGGTGAGAGGGGCATAAGGGAGTTTCAGGACGGAGGTCATCTATCCGGTGGTAACAGCACAGAGATAGTTTGTCAAGTTGTAACAGACCTACAACACATCATCCTATGACTTCTGTGGCGGCAGTTTTTTAAAAAAGAGAAAAACCCTATGTGTCAAACAGGCCTTTACAAGTATGAATAATAAACATTTGTTTTCCCTGTCCTCCCTCGAGCTGAGCTGCCCGGATGGCTGTAATCAGGCTTTGCTTAATTGTAGCACGTCTGGCAACCTTGATGTGGCGCCTCCGTAGTGGTTCAGGAATGCACCGGCAGAGCAATCAGTGGGAGGGAAGGGATCAGCTTACACGGAGGGCGTTTTCTGAGGCAGCTTGCCACTGTTGTTATATATTCTTCTAAGGGGACGATGTTTATCCGTTTCCGCTAAGCGGTTGCTGGGGAAAATTCGATGAGAAGGGATATCAGTCTTCTAAAGCAGTGAGCAGGCGAGGTTCCTGGACGAAATCTGCCCAACTGCCTTTTGTGTGACCACTCAAGCTAAGAATAATTTTTGTGTTTAAGTGGTTGCAGGGAAAAGATCATAAAAATATTTCATAATACATGAAATCGATTAGAAATTCAAATTGCAGTGTCCATAAAGTTTTATTGGAATACAACTTTCCTGCCACAAGGGTGGAATTGAGTAGCTAAAACAGAGACCGTGTGTGACTCACAAACCCTAAAAAATTTGCCATCAACCCCTTTGTAGAAAAAAAATTTCAGTCCTCTGTTCTATGTCATAACAAAGGTAGTTTAAAAAAAAATCATTTTGGGCCCAGCGCGGTGGCTCACGCCTGTAATCCCAACACTGGAAGGTGCAGGCGGACGGAAGACCTGAAGTCAGGAGTTCAAGACCAGCCTGGCCAACCATGGCTAACATGGTGAAACCCTGTCTCTACTAAAAATACAAAACCTAGCCAGGCATGGTGGCGCACTCCTGTAATCCCAGTTACTTGGGAGACTGAGACAGAATTACTTGAACCTGGGAGGTGGAGGTTGCAATGAGCCAAGATTGTGCCACTGCACTCCAGCCTGGGCGACAGAGCAACCTCATTACTCATTTACTTGTCCCAGAAAATAAACTCAAAAGGCAGTTTCAGAATTCTAAAACTGTCTTGCAAGTGTGAAGTATTTTGTAAATACAATTTATTTGTCAGGCTGAGGCAGGCAGATCATGAGGTCAGGAGTTTGAGACCAGCCTAGCCAATATGGTGAAACCCCATCTCTACTAAAAATATAAAAATTAGCCAGGTGTTGTGGCAGGTTCCTGTAATCCCAGCTACTCAGGAGTCTGAGGTAGGAGAATTGCTTGAACCTGGGAGGCAGAGATGCAGTGAGCTGAAGATTGTGCCTTTGAACTCCAGCCTGGGCAACAGTGAGACTTCAACTCAGAAAAAAAAAAAAAAAAAAAAAAGTAATAACTACCATTTTTTTCTTTTTTCTTTTTTTAATGTTTTGAAGAATGAAAAGATATCTATTTCTTTTTTATTGTCTTTTCCTCCTCACCCTTGCTGTCATCTTAAATTACCGTTTGCTCATAGTTTTTCTACTTATGTATGATTTTAGATTAATAGAACTGAAAAGCT